CAGGGTATGGTGTCCAAATGGTGGTGTAGTGTCAAAGTATGGTGGCCAAATGGTGGTGTAGTGTCAGGGTATGATGGCCAAATGGTGTACTGTCACGGTATGGTGGCCAAATGGTGGTGTACTGTCACGGTATGGTGGCCAAATGGTGGTGTACTGTCACGGTATGGTGGCCAAATGGTGGTGTACTGTCACGGTATGGTGGCCAAATGGTGGTGTAGTGTCAGGGTATGGTGTCCAAATGGTGGTGTAGTGTCAAAGTATGGTGGCCAAATGGTGGTGTAGTGTCAAAGTATGGTGGCCAAATGGTTGTGTAGTATCAGTGTATAGGGAAAAGTTGGCCTAATGGTGGTGTTGTGTCAGGGTATGTGTAAATGTTGGCCAAATGGTGTAGTATCAGGGTGTGGGGAAATGTTGGCCTAATGGTGGTGTTGTGTCAGGGTATGGGGAAATGTTGGCCAAATGGTGTAGTATCAGGGTGTGGGGAAATGTTGGCCAAATGGTGTAGTATCAGGGTGTGGGGAAATGTTGGCCTAATGGTGGTGTTGTGTCAGGGTATGGGGAAATGTTGGCCAAATGGTGTAGTATCAGGGTGTGGGGAAATGTTGGCCTAATGGTGGTGTTGTGTCAGGGTATGGGGAAATGGTGGCCAAATGAAGGTAGTTTATGTTTTTAAAATGCAGGTCGACTGTTGAATTCCAAAACATCACATATATCTGTTTTATGTACGCTTAAAAAGTTGTGTTTTTGAGTTATAATATTGTTATACCTATAAGCTAACTATTTATGAAACTTTGATCATAACTTATTACCACTTTTATTATTTGCTAGCCTCAGCGTTAATGTTAGAAGTTTTATTTCTAACGTTAGTCTTGTGGGTTCTCTATTCTAATAGCTCTTGTCTAATGGGCTAATATTTGCTATTTGGGGAAAGCCTTATAGGTGATAGAAGACGCTGTGCCGGTCTCTAGCCAGTAGGAAACACATCGTCCTTGCCAGAAGACAAATACGTTTGTCTCGTATCCCGCTACCAGCAAACACCCCAGCTAACCCCTTCTCCCCACGGTCTTATCTATCATTGTCTCATAAAGCTGCACACATAGCTAGTCGCCATGTGGCGGTCGTTTGTCCTGGTCAACATAATACCCTGGCTCCACGGCGATATGGACGTTACGTGGGCGTAATTAGAGAGTGTGTTGCTTAAGGCACGACACTGGCGGTGTACTATCGACATCCAGCAGATCTTCAAGGTCTATTGTTGAGACCTTTGCTTAGACAAATCTCCCACACATATATGTGTATGTAGTAGAAACACTACCCTTATGTCTTTCAATAATAAGATAATTAAAAACAAAATATAAGTTTGAATGTGCTATCTCAGCGAGACGCTGTTGGTGAATTTTGAAAAGATACTATCTTGAAATCTTGTTTTCACGTAGTAGAAAACATAACAAAGTGTCCCCGTACATGCTTTTCTCTCTTTTCCTTCCCCACCTCCATATCGTTTTCTCTTTTCCCCCCACATTGGCGTCTGTGTATAGGGTGGTATGGCTTTACCCCAGCCGCCCTTGACATTAGACTACTGTTTCTCTGTTACATCCCAGCCGTAGGTAAAGTTTATCAGGAGAACTGGCTTGTACATTGAGACGATTGTAAAGCCGTAGGGTGTGTTTGTTTTCTACAGCACTCACTAGATGTCTAGTGGAAGTGTACCTTAGCGTTTGTACGCTCACCGTGTATCCAGTACGTCTTCTGAATGTGTTGTGTACGTGTTCAGCCTTAGAAATCAATCGGTCGTTGCGTGCACCGGCCATGTTATTTCTCAGACTGGTATGTTAATGAAGTTGTTATTGAGGGCTATTCCCTGAGGAAGGGAGAGAACTGTTTACAATCACTTGACCGTGCACACCCTGCACTTGTCCTTCCCTCCGTTTGTTTTTTTGCTTGTTGTTTGTTTGGGTGGCTGCCCCTGCGCCTCTCACCTCGCTTACGTGTGTGTGCACCTTTTGAAGGTGCTGGTCGTGATTGGGGTATCTGATAAAACGGCCGTTTAATAACGCGCTGCCGGCGGTTGCAAGTGCCATTAGTTAAATATAAAGGATGTTAATAGTTTTGAAATAAAATTGTTTTTTGGGTTCGTTATCTCGCCTGACAGGGGTTCTAAAAAACTTGCACCGCCAACCCCTTCAAGTTCTGTAAAATAAAGAAATAACATTTTAAGTTTCTTGTTCATTGGAATTTAGAGGATTAAAAACTTGATTTTTCTGAGTTGAAAATTTGTTTTTCTTACACTAACAGATATTTTTAAAAACTAGAAGCAATTTCCGATGTGAAAAAAGGCCTCATTTCAGTTAACAGACATTAACACCCATCATCTAGCCCATCACATCCATTTCCCTATTACGTACTAGACTTACATTAGACCTTAGTAGGCCGTGTGTGCTAAGGCTGTCGTCTGTGTAGTGTTACTGGTTTCTGGTTTGTCTCACGTGATTGCATATTTCCTGGAAGGAAATCACAAGCACCTCAATCCACTCCCTCTTTTAATGGTTTTATTTTTGGTTCTATACCAAACCATTCATTATACTTCATTTATCCCTTGAACTCACGCAAGCTTTTGATGGTTCACACTCGCCTATAAACGTTGAACACAATATAGTCGTTTATTTTGATTTACCTTCAATTGCATACTTGATTTAGTGTAGTACAGTGTTGGTTTGTAGCCGGCCTCGCCCCTGCATGTGGCCAGTTTCTCGCACACATGTGGTCAGCCTTCCACCCCCCCCCCCATACATTCAGTTTGTGGCGAGCCCCGCCCCTGCATGTGGCTTGTATATTGCTTTAACTGGCACCATTAATAATTATTTTGGCCTTTGTATTACACGTGCTATTTTACCATTACTTGATCAATAGTTTGTAAGCATATCTACTGTTAACCCCGTGTACTTGCTCTTATCTTGACTAGTAAATTATACATTTTTCGGTAGATTGTATCTTCTTCAGTAGGTTATTTCTTCCCCTTTAGATTATAGATCTCCCCTATAGATTGTGCTCCCCCCCCCCCACCTCCCCAGCTGACGGGCTGCCGTTGAAGCCAGCAATGTTTGACTGCACATGGCAGAGCCAATCTAAGACATCGCTAAAGGCTGGCGGTATTCCTCTCATGTTTGGTGTTGACTGTAGGAAGTGGCCGGGTCCCACATTCATGGCCCGCTGCTGTGGGGGGTCATTTCATCTAATCTTCAGCTCGCCGCCTCAACACTTGGACACACTGTGACACACCGTCTTGTCATTTCCTCACTCGCATGCTTCAAATGCTTTTTGAATATCTCATTTTTACACCATTAGCTGGTCAAATATTCACGCTCGTATGCAGTTTTTATACATGACGTCTCACTTAGTGGTTACTAGTCTACAATATTTTTTCAACAACAAAAAGATGCCATGGAGGCGTGCGTAAAGGATCTGACTCTCCAATATTTTCCAACAACATATTGTGATGTAATAAGACAATAAAAATAAAACTTAAACTCATTTTTTTTTTTGCGGTTGTAGCTTCTTTGTATTACTTGTATTATTATTATTATTATAATGTGTTGTGGGCTGTGATTTTTGTTTTCTAATAATAATCCCGTCCCCAGCGGCCTTGAAAGCCCTGCGACTTTTTATTTCTCCTGTTGTAAACTGGTTTCTTGCCACGCGAGAATACCGCGACGTTTGCCTTACGACTCGAACCTGTTGGCAGACTAAGAATAACGTGTTTATATTTAACTTTTTACTTTTTTAAAATGTTTTTTTTTAAGCCCGAATACTTTATTACGTTAACTTTTGCGCGATATCTTGGCAGTAGGCGCGAAACATAAATTAATGGAGGCGGGTTTTTAAAAAAAAAAATTTGGTGGGGGCTGGGTTGTAACTTGTGAACACGATTCTTGCCAGATCGTTACAGTATGCTTGGATGCCGTGGTGGGAATATCTTATTGGCAGCTGCTGGTTGATGTCAAGATCCTACATTCCAGGATCATGTCCTGGTCAATTAGCCGGTGTAACGTCTGTATCCAAGTTTTGTACCTAAATATTTTATCACCTTCTTTACTCCACCCGTGTGTCCGTGGGGTTGATAGTGTTAGTTGTGTACGTAGGGAACAGTATCAGAGAACCGATGTAGGTTTTGGTAGCATTTATGTTATAGGTGAGTTAAAAACTGACAGTTATGGTTACTGCCAAAACATGGTCGTCAGTAGGTCTAAATGTTGTAGGCTTGTTGAAAGCTCGGTTAGGCTAACTGCCAGAACAATATGCCGATTTGAAATGGGGTCAAACAGGAAGTAGGATGGTAAACGTTAGTCAATGTTAGAATAGTTTTTTTTTGTAACTTACTCAAGACTACGTGCGTTTACACAGGTGGGTATGTTGTGTATGTAGAGACAGAAGAGTCGAATACACACCACACTGCCGTACACACAATCTACCCGACTTACAAGTTCAGACACATTCTAGTGGCCTACCTAAGATTTTGTCGACCAATCGTGTTCACTCTCCCATTTCAAGCAATCTGCTCTGTTCTGCGTGATACCCAAATTATGTAAATAAAGTGCTGCTCATCTATCACTCTGCTCATTACAACCTCTTAAGTTTATTACAACAAACGGACATTTATCGGTCTGCTCATACTTTCAGTTTGTGGCCAGCCTCGCCCCTGCATGTGGCCAGTTACTCGCACACATGTGGCCACTAAACTGGCCAGCCTCCCCCCCCCCCCCATACATTCAGTTTGTGGCCAGCCCCGCCCCTGCATGTGGCCAGCCTCTCTCCCCTCCCCCATACATTCAGTTTGTGGCCAGCCCCGCCCCTGCATGTGGCCAGTCTCTCCCATACACCCTGCCATGTTGACCTTATAGGTGTGAAGTTTTCCCCTAAAACGTGCCCCTAGTTTGTGTTGTCTCGCCTCGGCTTGGCGCGGCATGCCTGTCCATTGTCCCGTCAGCCCGTGTTTATGTTTTGTCTGAGGTACGCAGATAGTGACGTGAATGTCGGACTGTGGAGAATGCTCGAGTTATTTCTCTGGGTAAGCTGGCTTTCTCTTCTTGTCGCTCCGATTATTTCTATTGTATTTTTAATTAAACTAGCTGTAACGTACATTACCAGCTGTAAGTTTATAAACGCGTTATTAAAGTGCGTGTCTAGCGGTTATTTATATCGCAGTGTGTCGCCTTCTGTCAGAACAATGACATCTACCCACATATACCGTAGCGACACTGGACTGATACTGAGGAATTTGTCATCTCTTGACACATATTTAGTTTCATACAATGGGATCAACGAATTTAAAAAAAAAATTCTTTACGGCTGTAGAATCTATTACATTATTCGTTTTCGGGTACATTTTTTTGTTGAAAAAAAAAGTAATGATTATAAGGTTATCCTATACTCCAGCCTTTGTATAGTTAATGTCTTAGTAAGAATATTTACATGTTGCATATTTAAACATATACCCCTAATTCTCAATCTTATTATTGTGTTTGCTAATTAGTCATGCAGCAAACGTTACATTGTACCCTCCCCTTACAAGGCTAGTACTGTGATAACATGAGACCCGAGTGTTGAGTCGGCTTATCTGTGGTGCCGTCTACATCAAAGAGACAGATAATACAAATCATAGGCGGTCTTCTTTAATTGAACGTGTCTTTTGTGATTACCACAAACAACGTATCACTCGGGGAGGGGGGAGTCGCACATTCTTATGATGATTTGTGACGAGTGGGAGGAAGGGTCAGAAAATATGACGACACATTTCTGTATTTAAAGTTGTTAGAAGTCCAAGTTTTTCCTATATTATGGCGTGTTTGAAGATTTTTTTTTGTGCGCATTGTAATTCAAATTGATCAATGTACTCAGTGTTGACTGAGCTCAGTAAATATTTAAAAAATATATCTGTTAAAAATATTGCCATTTTTAGGGGGCTGTGGGCTGAAGTCTGTCGTGATTTTAAAGGGGGGGGGGGGGGGGGGGGGGTGACTTTTGTGCCTATGTGTGCCTATGGAGAAAGGGGAGGTAAAAAGTAGTTTAAAACATGACGTTTTTTTTATGGATGACCCCTTTGGTAGTACAAAATGTTATGCCTTGTCTGCCTTCCTTTTTCGTGATTGGAATAAAAGAAAAATAATTCCTTACTCGTTTTTAGACAGTACAGCATGGTTTGTCTGTGGTTTTAAGGGGAGATGTTTGCAGTTTTAAGTGTTGCTATTGTTTTTGTTTTAAGTATCCTAGAATTATTGACATAAAGTTGGATATTTTGACATTTGCTATGTACTTGTCTAAGCTCTCTAACTTTAATTAATGAGGATTTTATTAATTGTAGTCCTCTGTGACTTAATTTATTATTCTCTGCAAACAAATAATATTTTATCTGATATTCTATTCTTAATCCTAGTCTGTGTCTCCTACATTCATGTTTCATAGGGTGGCTATCAGTAACCTACTTATTTCTCTTTTTTGGGGGGATTTCCCTCTGCTAGACTTAACAGATGGTCATTATGTAGACTTATCAGGATACCTTTGAGAATATGGGTAATTTATAAATCTCCCTGGAAACATAGATAATTAATAAATAATGTAAGCATTAATTAGCTAGTAATACATGTATTTGTATAGTGGGTGTAAGGAAAGACTTTTTTATGGTTCTGTCTGTTACTAGTTGGTTAAAGGATTGATGAATTGTTAATTTTGTATTTTACAATTTGATGAGGACTAATGAGGTGTTTGTTTACCAAATGGTGTACTGATTCTTGCCATGTTTATTTGTGTTTTTTGAGTGCTGTGAACATCACTTTGGTAAAAATCCAGTTTAAATAGAAAAGCCAATTTCCCAGTAGAAAACAAACAGTAAAAGTGTCTTGAAGGTGTTGTATAGCTGTGTGTGTGATGTAAGCAATTAGCAGCTTGCCTGGCCAGGTGGTTGAGTGTAGACAATAAGTACAGAGAAGGTTCAGTTGGCTGGAAATAGATCAACCACATTAGAGTAAAGGGGGGGGGGGGGAGGGGTTGGTGATCTGGGTTAGTTCGGAACACTTTGCTCTAGTTTTACTTGCTGCCTACAGAGTGCTCAACCAGAAACACCAAGGGTAACTCTAAATCAACATTAGTAGCAGGGAGGTTTAAAATAACATTACCCTGGAACATGAGATGTAGGGAATAATAGAAGGAGAAAATGAGAAAGACATTGAATGCCTGTAATCTGTGATTTTGTGCCTCCAGTCTACATCATCAATGTTTATCTTGGTTTCATCACAAAACCTTTTTTTTTTTTCAAGCAGATAAAAGTTATTCATAGCTGCATTCTATAATGTTTAGCCATACCATGACTCAGTGTGTGGAGGTGGGAGGGGTTTGTCTGTATGTTGGTCTAGTTTGATGCTTCAGATGGAATCAGCTGGCTTGTTTATTTTATTGTATTACAATCAGCCTTTGTATTTATTGTGGCAATATCCAGACCTGGCTAGTTATTTTTTGCTGCAACATTACTTCAACAATTCTCCTTCTATTCATGTATACATTTTGATTTTTATAAGCCATACATAGCTGATATTGATATTCATTCACTGCAATCCATGACTAGCTTGGCCTTGAAGTTTATGATTATAATCTCTATATATGCCATAATAGTGACAAAATGTCAGGAGATTTTTATCACTTTAATTTTTAGTGCACTTAAGGTTTCCTTCAGTTGCCTGGTATAGGTAAAGAACATAGTTGAATTTGTATATTACAGTATATTGACATGGTACTGGTATGTTTTACAGTGTACACATTTGAGGAGAGTAGATGACTGGGAATTCTTGTAACACTTACTTTTTGTTGTTGTGTGAACAGTTTTTTTTTGAAGAATCAGTCCATTTATCTTTCTTATTGTTTTCTGTGTCTGACTTGTCAGTTATCATGACTTGCAGCTTTATAAACAATGTTCCTTTATCTCAGTAAACAATCTTGGGCGTGATAATGTATTTTCTGTGCTACTCAGTACAATTGTAAGTTTTTTTTTTAAACCTCAGCATATCAGATTAAGTACTGGCTTACTGTTTACATCATGCCATGCAATGTTAAGTTCAAGGTGTTTGATTATGGCTATAAAATAAAGGATCACAGCTGTTGCGTTTATTAGAATCAATTTTTCAAAATGTTTTATGATTTTATTCACAACATACTAAAACATAGAGTGAAGATATTATCATAGCACTAGTTTGTTTTAAATAGATGAAATGATAAGTGAGTTAGCTAACAATGGAAAGAGGATGGAGAATAGGACACTTGTGCTATCTCCCACTCCACCAGCACTAACTGCTTGAAGTGCAAATGTTTACACAGAACATTTTCCTGCTATAGCAGACATGGTTACAACTCTTTTATAAACAGTGCATTCAAGTGGTGGCTCTTAGAGGGGAGAGAGAGAGAGAGCTCTTATTTTTGTTATCTCACATGTTTAGAAATCTAGTTTACATTTAGGTTTATATTTTAATACTGCTTTAGTTTAGAATAGTTAGATTTTAAAAATTATTTTCAATTGTTTTATTTTAAATACCTAATTAGTTTCATTATACCACTTCACATTCAATTTATTGATTTTTAAAAAAAAGTAGATTCAATATTTGAACAATAATAAAATACTGCTCAACTCTAAAAAATTTCTCTGTATAAGAGAAGTATGGTTCTAAGAATTCAAACTATCAATGTCTGCATTATGTTTGTATACGATTCAATTTGTTTTATTATTTTTTATCTTATTATTATTGAAATCCCATAGTTCTCTTATGTTTCGTTTCACTAGTTTTCACTAATTTTTACAGTTGCTCTTTCTAAAAGCTTGACCTAACTATTAACATTTGTTTTTTCAGTACCGCAAATTGGTGCTATTCCGTGTGGTAATTGTCTTACATCAATCATTACTTTAGTAGCTAACTTTACCATCAATGTTTTGTTTTTTATTGTACATACATTGCAGAGCTTCTTTGTAATGCAATTAGATATATAAAGCTGGAAACTTAATTAACAAAATTCAGTCTTTTAATTACATATTGGGTTGCACAAACTTTAAAAGATTTCTTCTCAGTGTAAACTTTTTTTGCTTTAACTGTTTTGCTGAATTTAACATTTTAAAATTATAATTCTTGAAAAAAATTCCATCATAAATAATTTAAGAATTCTTATATTAAAAAAAAATTGTTTAGGTAAAATACTTTTTCTATTATCCATAGAGAAATTTAAACTGGTTAAGAAAATTCAGGGGAAAAAAGTGATCTGTTTATTACTCAGATTTTATTTCTTTCTATCTTTTTTTACTTTCCATGTAGAGATTTTAAAGGTCCTATGGTTACAATAAATTTTACTTTTTAAGTATTTGTAAATAAAAAAATTGTCTTTAAAGATGTTTTTATATTCTTTTTGTGTTGGAATTTTAAATTGTTCTGTACTTTTTATGCAGTTCATTAATCAGTTGCCTTATTTAATTTAAAATAGAATATTTTTATCCTATTTGATATTTGTTTTTTTTTTTCTAATGAAATAATTCACCATAAATCTTAAAACTAGAATAAGGAGGGCATGTTAGTTTAAGCTAAATCCACACTTCAGGATTTGTCCACAGCATTTAGTTAAAGGAATAGTTTTAGCTTTATCCACCACCTAATGAAGATAACACTATAAATTATGTAACCATTTTATCCTAGTCTGCTCCATGTGTTGCCATCCACATATTAACAATCAGCCTTGACATCTGTAACATCAGTGTAAAACCTCTCATCCTTTATGTTTACTTGTCTGTTTCATACACTAACAGCTTTTTAAATAGTTACGTTCATTTTCATAATACAAAACATATACAGCACACATTTTGTAGGATTTCATTTGAAATACTAATACTTTTATATTACTGTAGTAGCGCCCAATTTAACATTAAAACATGCTTATTATTTTTTGTTGTATTTCATGTATATTTAATCACAGTTTATTTGTAGCATTTAACCCATGCTTATTGGTAGTTGTTATAATAGTTTTTGACTAACATTTAAAATCACAAATTTAGTTTAACCCATGCTTATTATTAACTGTAATTGTTTATTTACATTATTTGCTTTAGCTTTAAAATTTGTTTTTCATTTACAAGTTAATTTCATTGTCTAATTTTTATATTCAAGCTTACTAACTACTGGTTTTATTTTTAATTCAAATGTTTGAAAGTATACCCAGTTAATCCTATAATTCTTCTACAAAATATTAAAATTTCAATACTAAATTTTGTATTAAAACTTTTTAAATATAATTCAAATATACCAATTATTCTAACACATTTTAACCCTAAAAACCTTTTGACTGAGTTTTACAATTGAATATCACCATGAAATCTTGTATTGGTCAACATTCTCATATAAACTACCACAGTGCATTGACTGCACTTTGTAGCTGTTTCACAACTGACACACAATGTGTTAGACTGTTTGATACCATTTCATTGTTTGTTTGTCTCCAGGGAGGTGCCGGAAACAATTCCTACCATGAACTTACACAACGCCTGGGGCTGGAGGGAGACATATCTGAGGCTGACTTGCAACAGAGGCTGGAGGAGATTAAAGAATATTTAAAAAAAGAAATTAGAAAAGAAATGAAGATCAAGGTAAGTTTGATTAGAAAATCTTCCATAGGCTACTCTGTCACCTGTCTTGTGAATTTATTTTGGACAACTCCATTAAGAATAGTTGTTGCTTTACCAGTAGTTTTCTCTTCAGCTATCTTTTCTTAGCCAATGGCGAGATTCTTGGCTTGTTTGGGCATTGTTTAATCAAACCAATATGGTAACTGGAAAAAACAAAAAAAAAGTGTGCAAGGGCATTTTGTTTTCTAAAATCCATTTATAGACATTAGCAAAGAATGACCACATGTACATTGTAGCATATTAAAACTTTTCCACAAAAATATTGATACAATTTAAGTTTATTGAGTATAATTTGTGTTAGCACATTTTTCTGTATGCACAGTTTTTTGTTGCTTAGTTTTCTGGGAACCACCCAATAAATTCCAACTGAGAACTTAAAGCTTAGTGCTTTGTTTAGGATAATCCCTCAGTTGTAAAGTTATCTGATAACGAAAGGGTTATTAACTGTGCTCATAAATATAGTTATTATTAAAAAAGAATAAACTGTGTTCCTAACTGAGTAGGTTTATTTAAAGACAAGTAACATTGTGTTTTGTGTTTTAGGAAGGAGCTGAGAAGCTAAGAGAAGCATCCACAGATAAAAAGACCCTCCAGAATGTAAGTAGCATTGTCAAGAAGGCCAACACCAAACTTCAAGAGCTGCACCAGGAACTGCAGGAACTCAACGCTTACCTGCTGGTCACAAACACAGGTGCACTAGATGCAGGATCTGAACATGCTGGTAGGTTGGATGATACACATCTCAATACCATCTGTTTACCTGTGTAACTATACCTGTCAAGAAGTGTCCCCTTTTTTATAACCTGTTCTGTATTTTGTTTCTAGATGGCATCAAATCTCCAGAGAAGGGGGATAATCAGCTTGATCAGAATGTCAATCCACGGCTCAAGTCTTTACAGAAACAGATGGATATAGAGCTCAAGGTTAGTCAGACTAGTTTTTTTTTTCTATTCTTTTCAAAATCTGAATGTTATAAAGAAAATATCTATAAAAAAAAATTTCAAGTTAGCAAAAGTCAGAGTTTTGTCCCTTGAACAGGTGAAGAATGGGGCAGAGAACATGATAACAATGTACAGTACAGGCTCATCCAGAGACAAAAAAATGTTAGCTGAAGCCCAGCAAATGTTAAGTGATGCCAAAACCAAGATTGAGATTATTCGTATGCAGATGCTCAAGGTGGACAGCGCTGAAGTCAACAGTAGAGATGGTATGTCACTCACTTTCACTTCCCTGGAATTCCTATACAAAACATTTTTTTTTTATAATTAACAAGAAAAAATGAAGACGGTATTCCTTTGAAAATTAAAAGAAAAATTAATTATTTATTTTTTACAATAAAAAGAAAAATTAAGAAATTAAATTTTGAATTAATAATTAATTTGTCCTTTTTAAATTCTCTTGCTGTGTTGTGATTAGCTTTTGGTTATAAGAATTAGTTAAAATGGGGAAAAAACCTTTCTTATCAATTTTTCTAATCTCATATTTCAGTAGTAGGTAGCCATGCATGTAGTCCCATCCAACCCTTCACCCCCCCCCCCCCCCCCCCCATTGCATAAAGAGAGCGTTGTCTAATATTTTATATTACAAAGAACATCCCAAATAAATAAACTTGATCAGCTTTTTAACTTATCAACTAACATTTAATTACAAAGAACATCTTAAACAAATAACCACTATTCTGATCGGGTTTTCAACTTCTCATCAGCTAAAATTTAATTACAAATAACTATTCTGTTCGCCCTTTTAATTTCTCATCAGCTAACATTTAACTACAAAGAAACTAAAAATTTATCTACACTACATCAAATATTTTTTTTTCCTGAAGGCAAGGCTAGTGAAATTCTATCCCCACTAGACCTGAGGTTAGAGGAACTTCGACACCACATCAAAATAGAGTCTGCTGTAGCAGAAGGTGCCAAAAATGTTATTAGAACTTTACAAAACTCCAAATCTGAAGATAAAAAAGCGTTACGAGAGGTAGGTAGCAAGTGTGTTTGTGGTTCTAAAACATAACAAAGATCTTTCATGTAAACTCAAATTCTTCAAAACATTTTATGTTAAGGTTTTTTACCCGCGAGTAATTCTGGATAACAGGTGTTTAAGTTGTGAGTCATATCCACTGAGCAGTAGGCCCAGTAATTGCATTTTGTGTTTTTGTCTAAAGCCTAATTATTTCCTGATTAAATACGTTTGCTATTTCCATCATTATGTTTTAAGTATTGTTGTTTTTCTAAGTAAAATACATAAGTATGAAAAGATAAAGATTTTTCATTCCAACCTATATATTCATCCCAGTAACTTTGCTCTAATAACTCGTGTTCTGTTTTTTAAATCCGTGCCTGGATCCTCATATAATTTCCCATATAATCATATTTGAAACAAATTAGTTGATACAGATCATATTTCCCTGTTGTTTTATTTTTTTCTTCTATAAAACAAGCTCCTATTTTATCTTTAGGCTCAAACAAGACTAGGGGATTCAAGTATGAAATTAGATTTGATGAGAATGTCTCTTGAAGAAAGACTGAGTGAAATGGAACCAACCTCTAGTAAAGCTGTATTGCTCAAAGAAGAATTAAGTGAACTACTCAACTCAACCTATGTCACACAGAACAGATTTACCACCAACACACAACGTAGAAATTCCAATTATTTTAGCAAGCCTGCAGCATTAACAGGGAAACTGGAAGTCAGGTAACATCAGAAATTTGCATGTATTACTGGAGTAAAGCACTTTTTCTGGCCCAACATGTTCCCCGGGTAGTTGAAGTAGAGTTCATCAGTATATTAAAGCTCAACCTGTGAAGGGAATGGTATATTAACCTCGGTGCCTTTACTAAACTTAGGTACCCTGATGTAGTAGTAGTAAAACTCAGTTGTACTGGAACACAAGTATTATGGAACTAGACATTTTGGGCTACTAACCTCGGAATGAATCCATCAAGTACCCTACCCAACATAAATAAGAGTTAAACACTAAGAATGTCTAATTCAATGTGTTTGAGCTTATCTTATATTTTCCATCATGACGTAAACATTTACAGGTTGGTTGGTGTTCAGGGTCTTCTAGAAGACATCCCAGCAAGGCGGAAAGACAATCTCCAGCTTTTGATGTCCAGTCCTGGAGAGAGTCGGAGTTTGTTGAGGCGAGGGAGCAGCAAAATGTATAATATTAAAGATGAAATCACAAGTAAGTCTACATTTTAAAATATCATTTACACTAGCCTTCAACATTAGCATATTTTGTAGATAATATGATATAAGTACTCAAAATCATAAGCATAGAGATAAGATCTAAGCTCTCAAAATGGGCTATATGTGGTAATAATGTTTTTGTCATCCAGATGAAGTTATGTGTTGTCTAAAGCTAGACAGCCAACAAGTGTCCCAAACTTCTTGGAAACCCTGCAGTCAGCAGTGTTGGGACCATAGGAGCTCTATAGACCTTGACAGGGTAAGCTGGTTTGGTCATTTCGATGCTCTTTGTTTTACTTCCTACTTTGGTACTTTGCATATAATATTTTTTTTTTTACTTCAATGAAATAATTTCACTTTGTTTCTTCTACTAGTCAAGGGAATTAGAGATAGCAATATACTGGCGAGATTGGAGACAGATGTGTGCTGTCAAGTTTTTAAGGCTTGAAGACTTTCTAGACAACCAAAGGCACGGCATTACATTACACATGGAACCTCAAGGGATTCTCTTTTGTGAGGTAAAGTCAAACGTTTTAGTTTCAAGTACAAATTTAATTTTAAATTTCATTTGTTTATATACAACCCTAGCTTTATGTTTGCTTTACTTAACAGCATCCAATTTTTATTTATTCAGATCACTTTCCTGAACCCAACATTATCTAGGAAACCAAAGCTACAAAGACAAAGAAAAATATTTCCAAAACACAAGGGTAAATAAATCTTAACATAACTTACTGGAATGTGTGAGACAGTATTACAAGTGCTTCAGCTCTTTAATGCTATAACATTCTTCTGTCAATGATAAGACTAAAAACGCATCACATCTAGTCCAACTCTACAAATAGTACCTAGAACACATGAGCTATCTAATGCTGTTTTCAATGACACTTGCTCTCACTGAGTTAAATTGATTTCACCTGATGTTTTAGGCAAGAACTTCCTACGGCCCAATGAAATGAACATCAATGTTGCAACATGGGGTCGGCTTATGAAGAGGTCCTTGCCTGCTAATTGCTCAGACTTGAATGAATCACGAAATCATCAACAAGAACCAACACCTACTTCCCCAGGTAAACCAAACTTGGTGCATTTCAAATTAATCTCACTTATATAGCGTATATAAATAATTAACTACATTACAGTTTTAAAATTTAACTTTAAAATATAATAACTATTTACAATCTAGTTTGCAATTTCAAATATAAAAGATCAAGTCATAGTTCATTTTTAAAAGTTACATGAGTAATATGAACTACTTAAACTGTTTACAATCATTGTTTTTTGTCTAACACTTAAGCTAATGATGGCTGTAGTGTTACACAAACTAACTACTCAATGGTACCTCCTGTGAAAAATGATTGAATAGGCTGTATTATGGGTTGTTTAGGCATAATGTCCCAGGACCGAGGCCCGCCCATCTCCCAGATCAGCTTTGAGCCACCTGAAACAACAAAGAGAGCCAGAGAAACAAAAACAAAAGAGGAGACAGATCAAGATGCCAGGAGAGATAACTTAGTGGCAGAATTGCCAGCCCCACTCCACCACTCCCACTCATACTCATCCCATCAGAAGAGAACACATTCGAATGAGAGAGAAGATGTCCAGGTGTGTTTACATTCTATATTCAAACATTCAAGAACATTTTAAGTAATCTTAGTTAATTCAACATTCAAGCAAGTTCTTAGTACACTGTTAAGCTAAACTAACATCATAAGGTGCTCATCAGAGCTGTATGGAGTCAGGTGTGTCAAACATACTCTAGCTGAATTATAGACTTTTGGGTTAGCTGTCATGCTGTCCTAATTATGGATGCATAGTTTACACAAACTGAATACTTATGAGTATAGGTTAATATTTTTAGTGTTAAATCTAAGCCTGTACTTGAAACATTATATTTTTTTTCTTCTTACCAAGTCATTTCTTTTTTTTTGTGTTCCAGCAAGCACTTTCAAATTTTGATTTTCTGGGAGAATCAACCCCTAACACATCTTCAGGAGAACTTGATACATCAAATATACAGTCACCAGAGGTGCCGCACCAGCGTAGACGCACCCCCACCCCTCCACTTCCTCCCACACTTCCACCACCCGCCCCTTCATTCCTTCCACCAGCTATTCCAGAGAAAAGACCAGTACCACCAATACCCCAGTTGGTAAAAGAACCAGAGTACGTTTTTCTGTTTTTGTCTACAATTATCAGAGGGTAGCTTTAATGGTATTGAAAAGAACTTATTATAAAATACCAGACATTTACACAAAAAAACTACATTGTTTGTTAACTTCAAGGAAAAAATGTAAAAAATTTTGCTTGCCATATTAGTTGTGTACACTAGTCATCTAACCTACTTTCTCCTGTTCAGATTTACAGGGCAGAAAATGAAAATGGATGATTTCCGTCCAATCAGTGTACTAGGTAGAGGCCATTTTGGCAAAGTAAGTTCTTTATTTAGATTTTTTAAATGCTGCATATATTTAAATATCACTATAAAATCTTAAAATAATTTGAAATAAAATGAGTAGTTTGTATCATTTGTAACCTAGTAGTATCTAACATTTCTGTATCTTTACAGGTTTTATTATCTCAATTTAAAAAAACTGGAGAATATTATGCTATCAAAGCTTTAAAGAAAGGGGACATAATTGCAAGAGATGAAGTGGAGAGCTTAATGTCAGAGAAACGTATTTTTGAAGTTATAAACACCATGAGGCATCCATTCTTAGTCAATTTATTTGCATGTTTTCAAACCTCGGTAAGTTCAACCACTTAGGATGGATTTTGGCTTCTTTTAAAACTATTTAGAATTAGTATTAAATAGGTTTAGAGTCAACCATGTGTTTAACTTACTTACTTACTTAATCCTCATCACTCCCTGTGGAGTATAGGGCGACATCAAATCTCCGCCATTCCACTCTGTCTTGAGCGAGCCACTTTAGTTCATGCTTGGTCTTGCCAGTAGCCTGCACTTCTTCTTCCATCTCTCTCCTCCATGTTCCCAGTGGTCTTCCTCTCTTTCGCTTTCCAGGCGGAGTCCACTTCAGTGCCATGTTGGGGAGCCTTCTTTTGCTCATGCGTAGGACATAGCCCAGCCATCTCCATCTCCTCATTCGAACCTCTGAAACAATGTCGTTTAATCCTGTCCTTCGCCATATTTCCTTGTTCGGGACTTTGTCGTCCCACTTTATTCTGAGGATGCCTTGGAGGGATCTTCTTTCAAATCCTCTAAGTTGGCTCTCTCCTTTCTTGTTTAGTTTCCATGACTTAACATGTGTAAAAATTATGATTTTGTAGGACAATTTGAGCTGTATACTACTTTAATTAGTAGAAAAAAAGATTAAATTATATTTACTTTTATCACAGCACTTTTGAACTTATTGAAAAGATATGCATTTAATTTATAAGAGCTTCATCTTATTATTCAAAGAGCAATATATAAACATGTAATGAGCAGGATACTTTATGTAGCCAGTGTTAGTCGACCACTGCTATATTTAAACAATTGTTTGCAATTTGATTCATCTTTTGTCTGATTTCTGTCCATCCAGGAACATGTATGTTTTGTGATGGAGTACGCTTGTGGTGGGGACCTGATGATGCATATTCACAATGATGTGTTCACTGAGCCACGCACTGTGTTTTACGCTGGCTGTGTGGTTCTGGGCTTACAGTACCTGCATGAGAACAAAATTGTTTACAGGTAAAATATTGTTCCTTGTGTCTGGGAATGATTGAATTGTAAAGGAGTAAGACTAATGGCTCAGAGAGTGTTTTAACTCCATGGGATTCCATGGTTAAATTATATCAAGTTAACATGAGTATTAGTATTAAAATTTAAAGGGGAAGAGTACTTAATTCTTCCTTTTTACATTTGTTATGAGTAGATTTTATTGGGAAAAGTGGAGGAACAACAAACAAAACGTAACAATTTTTTTTCAGAAGTGAACTGTGGTCAATTTTTTTTTTACATGCATTTATAAGTATGAATTGTTGATCTGTGGTTGGCTGTGTGAAATAAAAATATTGCTTTGTCATGGTATGGAGTATTGCATGAACTTAAGTTCAGTAGGTTTGGTGAAAACAGAAAAATAATTTGTCTTTGTTTAAACTTGCAAGGTAACAACTTTCTGTCTGCAGAGATTTAAAGTTAGACAACTTGCTGTTAGACTCTGAGGGTTATCTTAAAATGGCTGACTTTGGTCTGTGTAAAGAAGGCATGGGATTTCAAGACCGCACCAGCACGTTCTGTGGGACACCTGAGTTCTTGGCGCCAGAAGTTTTAACAGAGACATCCTACTCCAGGGCTGTGGACTGGTGGGGGCTTGGTGTTCTCATCTATGAAATGTTGGTTGGAGAGGTAGGTAGTGGTTTCTTGCTCACCACTACAGCTTGTGGTTCATACCTGCAATATCATACATTTTAATAGCACTAATGCATTCAAAGGTTTTTTTAAGGATAGAGATTGAATATTTTCAATGCTGTGTAACAGTTTAATATCTGTTTTTATCTTGAACTTATCTGTGCTGTTATACTTGAATTAATTAAACATCACTGATGTAGGCTTATTTCTTAAAGTATTTATTGTGGGGTTTAACATTCTCTTTTTTTATAAACATGAATTAGCCAGTAAAGTGAGATGCTGTTCCGTTTTCAGTCTCCATTCCCTGGTGATGATGAAGAAGAAGTGTTTGACAGCATAGTTAATGAGGAGGTTCGCTACCCAAGGTTTCTTTCAACAGAATCAATTGCTATTATGAGGAGGGTAAGGATAATTTTCTTTTCATGATGCAATATAATTAATACAACAGACCAGGGTTAATTAATATAATTATTTCTAGAGTAATTCACTCACATAAAACTTACGCTGAACTTTAATCAACTCTACAAAATTTGAAAACAGTGCCCAGAATTCAAAAGAAACTATGAGTTGTTTATATTTATTTAAGTTTATGTTTACATGTTAAAACTATATGCATATTTTTCAACAGGGCTACAATTTGACTATAAGATATTTAATAACCTATAGTTTTTATTCATGATTTTAATTAAATTGTTTAATCCTGCTTATCCTGAGCACCGAGAAAAGTTTAGTAGCAATGCTGTAACTGTAAGTGAATGTTGTAAAGTTTAAAAGTTCTCATCTTTAACAAAGCTGCTGCGCAGAAATCCTGATCGTCGCCTTGGCTCTAGTGAAAGAGATGCTGAAGATGTGAAGAAGCAGGCATTTTTCAGGGTAAATGTAACAGTGTCCACACCCTATGTGGCTCATCAGTGTGCCAAGTTTACAAGCAGTCAGATATCTTGTTAATATTCCATGCCGTGTTCCAAGATATCTGGGTGATTGTGGATGGCAGGCGCACTGGGTCACATGGGTGTTGTAGTTACTTCTATATGTCGATGTTGATGTGTTCTTGTTTTCCATCCCACCACCCGGTGTAGCTAATGAGAAGAAACCCAGACAAAAGGCTGGGTGCAAGTGAGAGAGACGCAGAAGATGTTAAGCGCCAGACATTCTTTCGGGTAACTTTGAGAATGACTAGTGGGCTAACAGTGTACTGCGCCTTGCACCCACATACCTATATGCTCAAACCATGTTTCTAAGTGTGGAATGAGCTTATTTAATCTTTTTTATTTATTTTTGATGATTGCTCTCAGTGGAAGTATTTTATCACTTTCTTCTCATGACAAACTAGTAGCTGGGTTTTCTTAACAACCTGTATTAATTGATGTATTTTAAGGTGTTGGCATATATCCAGTAGAAATATCACATAGATATATTATATACACAAAACAATAGTCATTGCAAATTTGACAGAATTTTATCCATGCATTTCTGAAAGCAGTAGTTCACAATTTTACTATAACTTACATCATTTAATATATCAAATGTTAAAACTGCATCCAGCTGTTTTATTTAAGTCTATAGTAGCTACAATATTGTATATTTCCCAGTCATAGTGATTAAAAATTTGTTTTAAATTAAAAATTATTTTAAAAATGCTATAAATTATAAAACAGAACAAAATTAGAAGCATTAAAGTTAAATGCACTTCTGTAGTAGAAACTGTTGCATGATCTGTAGGTGGTGTTTAACTTGTAGTAGATATATTTGGTTTTTGGATGTATAACGATGCAATAAGGCTCTAATTGCATGGATTTTTATGTATGTCAAGAACAAAAGTTGTGCTGTTAAAACTGCTGATTACAGAGTAATATATTAAACAAATTTTGCAGTTTTACTGATAACAGTGTGCTGTTGTTTTGAGAATAATTTTAAACTAAAAAATCACACCAGAATATCCTGGAGTTACAGAAATCTTGTGGACAAGTTTGTTTCTATTGAGCTAAAGTTTTACGTTTTCAACTCCAGCTCTAGTTTCTTCTTGTCTGGTCTTTCTTAGTTCAGATATGCAAAGTAGATTTAAATCTTTATTCTTAATGAGCATGTTATTAGAATGTTGTAGTCCACAGAATTTTGGAATGGAAAATGTTTTTGTTGTAAAATGCTCTAGTGTCATTTATTTGTGTGCAGTATCTGTGTTAAGTGTAGGAAATACATAAACTTTTAGACAATTTATATTTGTCATTTGCAGTTCCACAATTTTAGTTGTTCTTTTGTCTTAATGGAACCAACCTGTTATGCGATAAACTCACTTTGATTTCTTTGCCTAATGTTACCCTTACTACTGTTACAGAATGTCAACTGGAATGATCTCCTAACCAAGAAAGTCAAGCCACCATTCACTCCCACAGTTGTAAGTAACTTTACACTCAGTCAAAAGTTGTTGGTTAATATTTTTTTTTTGACGCTTTTTGCCTACAGAGAAGGGGAACTACTCCAGGAAAACAATATGGTTGTGTCTAAGTTAATTTTAAAAGATAACATCTTACTTCACTAAAAACCATAATATAAAATCCCTAAATGAAAAAAATTGCATGAAATTGTGCTTTTTGAATATAATTTGTACATACAAATTATAATTTGTACGTACTAATTACTATCACACAAATTTTACATTGTTTGCTGCAACATTAGTAAACTAAAGTTTTAACTGGGAAAATCCAAGTATGTTGTAAAAATTAGTTTAACTTTTCCTCATTTTTATAAGAATATCCAACAAAATCCCACTACGAGAAAAATTGTATGAGGGGTTTGCTGAGTTCTAAACCCCACTGAATTGTGACATAAAGGGTTAATTACCTATTAATAATAGATTAAAAAAAATAGTTTCAATAGGATAGAACTGGTAATAAAGTATAATTTCATTTTGCAACACCAGAAAAACATGGAGGATGTCAGCAACTTTGATGAAGAGTTCACATCTGAACGTGCTGTACTGACCCCACCAAAAGACAGGCGACCTTTGAACTCAGCTGACCAGAAGCTATTCAGAGACTTTGACTATGTTGCGGAGTGGTGCTGAGAAAGCCAGTTGACATTTGTATCTCTCCTCGCACACATTTATATCAGCATTGAAATGTATATCTTGGTACTTTCTGCATGGGTCTCTCTTTCTCTACTAAATTTCCATAATAGTATTTTTTTTCATGTTTTTATTTTTTTTCCCCTCGCAAATTTGATTGTATGTCCTTGATGAAGTTTTTGTTAGTCTTTAACATTTCTTGGTGGGGGAAAATAATTTCTAAACCCCCATCAACCTCATTCACTCTCCATAACATTCAGGAATGTGTGTAGTTGTTTCAAGGATTTATTGTTAACTTTTGGTTTTAGACTGTACACTGTTATTTTTTGTTAACTTTCTACTCTTTGTAAGCTCTCAAATGTTTTTACCTGGTGGAATGGTACATTTCATTCCACATAGCAAAAGTCTGATTTTATGTTAAATGTTTGGTTTTTTTTTTAAAATCATTCCTACACTAGTTAATGTTTAATCTGATCTTTAGTTTCTTGTGGCTTTTGGTCCTATGCAGCTGGGAATCAAGTTGTGTAACTCTTTCTTCTTGTAGTCATTCAATGAAATAAAAACTTTTTACTAATTATAAGATGTGGTTTCTACCATAGTTACCATGTTGACTTGACACTTAGTGATGAAATATTTGACATTTAGTGATGAAATACTTGACATTTAGCTGTGAATTATTTGACATTTAGCTGTGAATTATTCGACATTTAGTGGTGGATTATTCGACATAGCCATTGTATTAATTTTATATATTTAATAATGGTATATCTAATATTTACTGATGGCATATCTGTTATCTAAGTGAGGGAATGTAAAAAGCTGGTGTAAAGAAAACATAGGTATGGAAGCCAGAATTTCAGTCAATGTATTGGCACCCGAAGACAGCATTATCATTTGCTTCATCTGATGAGATAAATAATTCACTAACAGGTTGCTTGATGTTATTGTTTAGAGCATTTTTTAAAATAAAAAATTGTGGGCCACTACTTTGTCAGTTAAGAGCTGGAAAGTGCAGAGCTATTTCCCTGTTAGAGGCTAGTACAGATTTATGACATGACTAAAAAAAGTGCAGTTATCTCCCTGTTAGAGGCTAGTACAGATTTATGACATGACTAAAAAAAAGTGCAGAGTTAGCTCCCTGTTAGAGGCTAGTACAGATGAATGACATGACTAAAAAAAGTGCAGAGTTAGCTCCCTGTTAGAGGCTAGTACAGATTTATGACATGACTAAAAAAAAGTGCAGAGTTAGCTCCCTGTTAGAGGCTAGTACAGATGAATGACATGACGGCTGTAAATGATGTGTCTGACATGACAGATGCCACGTGTGTTCTGTGTAGGGCATTTAAAACTTAACCTGTTGTCTCCAGCACTTGTGGGCTGGTGTCAGTACTTCTCTGTTTAGATAGGCAAAGTCTACTTGGTGACTTCTACATTTAGCTCAGCATTGATGTGGCTATTTCCCTTTCTGTAGCAGGCTATAAACCTTTTGTATTTTACACAGAATGGGTTATGAAACACCAGCCTGCTATTATTGCATTATACTTAGACAAGTCTCTTGTTGGCCCTAATAACAAATTTGTACTAGTTCAGTTTTAATACAGAGTGACTGGACTTGGAAATGTTGAGTACTTATTTATTTATATTTCATCTTTCATCATCTAGGAACAATTCTTTAAGACACAAATTCAAAGGTGTGGGGGATTAGATGTACATAGGTGTGAATATAGGTGTACATACCTTCATCTGACATTCTACCTGAGATATTATGCTCACCTGTGCTACACTGGCTGTAAGAAAGTCATCTGTTATCTTGATGTTTGGCTTAATCCACATTACACATCTCAGTTGCTTGTGTTAAATCTTGACATTACTTATGAAATAACTTTCAAATCTTTCTAAACTTTCATTCAACAAAGCATTAGTTGTAAAGTGGGTGGGTGGGAGTATTAAATATGTAGGGGGGGGGGTGGATAGACTTCTATTACACTAGTCATTGATAGGTTTTTGTTTTGTGTTCTTTAGACAAGTTAGGTCTTTGAACTAGAAAGTAGAGACAGCAAACCAATATAGACTTCTGAGAAAAAACAAACTTTGTCCAGTGAAATAGAATTTATCTATAAAATTTGGGCCACTTGACTAGAATATGGCCCTTTGAAGGCCACTAACAGACTCTAGTTACGTTGGCATGATAACACCAATGATTGTATATAATTTGGTGTATAAAATAATTCTCATTGAAATATTGTAAACTTTTATTCTTGTATCATACATTGATTGAATTTTCACTGTAGAAATATGTTTTACTGACTTTACAATACATTTTAAACTGATGCCTTGTTGGAATTTGTGTTGATTGTATTTTAGTTTTGTTGTTGTAAAGCAGGGGTCTCCAAACTGCGGCCCGCGATGTCCCCTCATACGGCCCGCGGCGATCTTTTTGTCCACGGAAAAAAACGTTTGTTGGTGATGGCTGAGAAGCTTTGCCCAGAAAAATCAAAGACACGCCTGGAAGAAACTGGCCCCCGAACTGAAATTTGATGGTTAATGATAATGCGGCCCTCGGACTGAAAAGTTTGGAGACCCCTGTTGTAGAGTATTTGAATAATGGGTAAAGCTGAATCTTAAGTCTTCCGTGTGGGCTGGAAAGGTACTTTGCTTACACAGCGATAAACTGATTAACTATACTTCACTAGCCCTACAGCCAATAAGGTTTGAATGTTTTGTTAGTAAAGAGGTTTCTTTTTTTTCCCTTTGAATAGACATTTTAAAATATTAAAAGACCATAAGCTGAACAATATTCAGTCTACTTATAAGTCATACAAGTACATCAAACCAATGTATAGCCTACACATAATGTGTGTGCTTTTAAAATCATGAGCATTAATGAAAATATGCAAACTAATAAAGTAGGCTACAGAAACTTACTTCGTTAACCGTATAACATTTCCCTCATCCTCAGGGCGGAGCCCCCTCCCCCCCCCCCCCCCCCCAGTCTGGGAAGAGGCTCCAAACCTCGATAGTACTTCTTGGCTAATTTTTTTCACAAATTACTTGTGTGTGGGGGGGGGGGGGGGGGGGTTATAGTTCTTAACGAGCTACTGACAGTGTTTTAAAGCAAATATATTCAGTGGCAGGATTGGTACTATCGAATTCACAAATTATGAATTACTGAAAAGTAGAAAATAAAACAACTAAATAGCGGCGTATTATATGCCGCGGGTCGGCTCGTTAGGTTTTAAATTACAAAATTAATGCTGTGTAAATCATTTTATTTTATGTCCTTTTAAAAAGAAAACATATATTGTGCATAAAATAACATTGTTGGTTTGACACAGTTTTAGGAGCATCTAATACTATCATCCCTACAGTTTATGTTCATTGTAGCGAACATTTGAAGCAGTGAGTAAACTTGCTGACTAAAACATAAATGTTTAATTACTTAATGATTACGTTTGTTATTTAATGTAACGTAAGATTATCTTTACCGGAGATAACGAGAAAAAGCAATGATTGAACTGAAATGCTTTCAATACACATGTCAACTGCCCAGACTGCGCTTTTTAAAAAAAAAGAACATGCACGTTATCAAGATAAATGTAATCATTGCTGATTGCGGTGGTTTATTAATCAGGAGCCGGTACAGTGGCGGATATCACACACGCACACACACACGCACGCACACCTCTCCCCCCCCCCCCCTCCCCAACTGATTTAGTTGATATTGAAAAAAATAAAAAGGTTGGTTATTTTATGACGAAGAATTCACCTACGTAAACAATGTGTGATCACCAATTGGCGACAGCTGATGTAAATATCGATACCTGAGAGATGCTTTCAGTGTTTTCACTAAAAAAAAATACTCAAATTTTATGACAATCGATTTTCTAATTTTAAAAATACGCGAGTTAAATCTTTTATTATATACAATTTATATATAAATTGTGAGAGAGAAAATTCGGGAGTCCCTAGAAGTCCGGGGCCTCGGGCAGCTGCCATATTCCCCCTCCCCCAACTTAATTCGTCACTTGTAGTATCGGTGTAATAATTAGAATATATATCCAACATGTTCAATATTTGTTTGTTTCATTTGTCAGATTCGAAAATTGTCAGATACAGTGAGGACCAGAATTGTATGTCAAATTCAATATTTGTGAGATTCGATATTTTAATTTTTCAATATTGATCAGATTCTATCATCGTATCGGGTTATGTAAGTACGTAAAGTTCCCTTTCAAACCTCACGTGGTAAGTGAAGTAGAGTTCACTTGTTTCTGTGAACTCGGCATATAAATATTATAAAGGGGTGGTGTGGTCAGCACTATGCCCAGCCGCCTTTACTTACTCTAACGTGAGTTAGGTACCCTTCAGAGCTGGGTGGACTCAGGGACGGTCTACTGACTTGAACCCGGATTCATACTCGAGACTTACATGTTAGCAGACCAGCTCTCTACTGCTAGGCCAGTCCGTCCCATTATCGTGTTATGAAGAATAGCTAATTCAGTTTTTAATAGAATAGATCTTGTACTCTTAAAAAGTAATATAATAGATATAGTCTTAGATTATATCTTCTATTCTAAGGTAGAATAAAAACCGCTTGACACATGACGCAGATAGCTCCCGAACTTGGTCCATAAAAATTATACAAAAATATATATAAACTTCGTCCGGAACACGATTACCAAAAGGTCAAAAAGTAGACATACCTGTTGCAATTGTTTGTTGAACTACAGCAAGTTAAAACATGTTAAATCACAGTTTCCTGAGTGAACAACGACTATTTTAGATACGATAAAAACCCTCCAGTAATGGCTAAAGTAGATTTAGATAGACCGTACTGGTTGTCATTATTAAAATGTTACAAATTCTGTTTTTATAGACTTGACAAGCTTACCCGCCCCGCGCGCTGCTGCGGTCTCAGAACAAAGGCTGACGTAATATTTTAAAAAGATTTCAGCAACGCGTTACAAATCGTGCAATTTTAAGATGCGTTACGTTGTTTTATGAATATGAGGTATTTAAACGTAAACAAAGCGTGCGCTATATTTTCTTTATCATAATTGTAGAGGCGTGCTTTGTTTATACTATTATATTATGTATATATATTTTCAATGTAAAAAACAAAAAAACCAACAAACAGCATTTTTATAGTTTTTTTTTTAAATATTTTTTTTATTATTTAAAAAAAAATTCTTTAATTACGAAACTTAAAGTAGCGTCCCTTGATTTTCATTCACAAACGGGAGGTAACTGCCATTATTTCTGTCTACTACACAATCACATAAAATACCGGATATGCATATATATATATATATATATATATATATATATATATATATATATATATATATATATATATATATATATATATATATATATATATATATATATATATATATATATATATATATATATATATATATATATATATTACAAATTTATTTCCCAAGTGCGGCCAGTATCCTTCTAGGTGGCGTAAACTCCCGACGTGCGTGCAGCGCCTGTCTGTTGTCGACGAGAATAACGTCCCCTTTCTGCCAGGTGACATCGACCGCCGCCTCTTCAAAAATCTGATCCAAATCGTCCATGACGTGCGGTGGCATGTAGGTGCCGTCAGAGAAGGTGACGGCCTTTTGTGAAGAGTTCCTGCTGTCCTGCCACCCCCTGTAGGCGGCGATGATGGAGTTGAACCACATCTGGACGTTACATAAAAACTAACGCTTAGCAGAGTTTCTTTCAGGATTCACTTTCGGCGGGGCTCTGCCCTCCCCCTCCCCCGAAGAGAGTCTACCCCCCCCCCACTTTCCCGCAAGAAATGGAATTTATATAGACAATATATACTTTTAACAGTGTCGCCGCCCTCCACCCCCCCGAAAATTTTAGTCCGTCCCGCCCCCCCCCCCCAAAAAAAAATTTCAAGTGCCCCCCCCCCCCCCCCCCCTCCCCCCACTGGAGAAAAAAGTCTGGAAGAAACACTGACGCTTAGTGTTGTCAAAGTTGGCTTATATCAAAATGGGTTGGGACAGTGGCGTAGCCAGGTATTGGTAATGGGAGGGGTTCAAATATTTTTTCATATGTATATGTATATGTATATGTATATATATATATATATATATATATATATATATATATATATATATATATATATATATATATATATATATATATATATATATATATATATATATATATATATATATATATATATATATATATATATATATATATATATATATATATAAATGGGTGTGAGTCCATGAGAGGGGTTATAACCCCCCCCCCCCTAACCCTCCCTTTCCTACCATCATACCATATATTATAACGCAGCCCAATGACGTAGGCAGTAGGGATTTTTATATATATATATATATATATAAACAGACAACAAAACAATATTGATCACCTTCTTCCCGGTTCGTGCATCCACACGGATTGCCGGTAAAACTGCCGTGACGGTTTTCAAACATCCATCCGGCAACCACTCGAATGACGTCCCTTGTTCCCGGCACCTGACCTCAGCCACGCCCCTGTCGTCCGTCTGGTACGTGGACCGCCACCCGCGCCCTATGGGGGTGTCCGGGTCATCAAACTCAGGCAGCACCCGCGTGTACTGGACCTTTTTCTCCTCCAGGTCTCTGAGGAGTCGAAGTGCTGGAGTCAGTTGGCGTCATGTTTTAATAGAGTCAGTATGGGTTTATGTGGAGTCACTGAAGGTTTATGTTTAAAGGAGTCAGTGAAGGTTTATGAGCAGTAATTGAGTCAGGGCTCATTTCTCGTAACAGAATGAGGCGTGAATATCTGGACGAAGAAATCGTTGTAAATTTCTGGCCCGGGTTATTAGGGATGGTAAGTAGGTCACCAACCAGCTCCACGGCTCAATAAAACCTGCATGAGCCATAGAACTGGTTGGTGACCTACTTACACGTCCTATTGTGTTTTATTTGTGGTGAGTAATTCAAACATTAGATGGCGCTGGACTTGGGTTATGTCCACTCCCTTTCAGACGTTGGGGGGGGGGGGGGTAAACTTTGACCCCTCCCCCAGAAGCTGGTCTAATGATGCTTCAACCCCTTCCCGCAGACTGGGGAAACTTTCACCCCGTCCCCACAGAATCCATACAAAACCCCACCGGATTCGACTTCAAAACTCAGCGGATTTGTTTCTGGTAAAGTATGCTTGATAAGATAACGCAGTAAAAAAAAATACAACAACACGCAACGGCCGTTGCTAAAAATGATTACAGCTGCTGATTAGTGTCAAGAACATCTATAGAAAGGTTATTGACTTACATTCACAGAACCAGTGCATCAGTAATGTTTGACTAATAGGTAAAGTTCCCTTTCAAACCTGAGTAGAGTTCACCTGTTTCAGTGACCTCGGCATATGAAGAGATAGTGTGGTCAGCATTATGCCCAGCCGCATTTACTTTCCCAAACGTGAGTTAGGTACCCATTCAGTGTTCCTTCCAGAATTTTTTCTCCGGGGGGTGGGGGCACTTGAAATTTTGGGCCGGGGGGGGGGGGGGGCGGTAGACTTTCCTTCGGGGGGGGGGGGGCGGACACTGTTAAAAGTATATATAAATTTCATTTCGTTCGGGGGGGGGGGGGTTGGTGGGGGGCGGTAGAATTTTTTTTTGGGGGGTCGACCCCCCGAAGAGATGCCTGGAAGAAATTCTGTATCCATTAGAGTTGGACTCAGGGACGGTCTACTGACTTGAACCCGGATTCGAACTCGAGACTTCCGGGTTTGACTAATAGGGTGACTAAATTGATAAAGGTGATGTCATGGCGACTTACCTGACGAACTGAGGGTGTTTCTCCAGCATTGACCTGTAGATCACGTTTGACAAGGCCAGTGGCGTCTGCCCCCCGCAAGGTGGCGCGATGTCGCAGTAGAAGAAGAGAATGCTGGGAGATACGGGGACCTGCGCCATCTCGTGGTGAAACGGAATTCGTTTTTCTGGAGGTGCCTGTGAGGGTGGGGGGGGGGGGAGAGGATCAGATTCAAGCTTAGTAATGGTGTAAAGGGGGGGGGGGGGGGCGAAGGAAGTTGAGTGTAAGTATGGATGGGAGGCTAGAGTGGAGGTTAGAGTGGTGTGGGGGTTAGAGTGGTGGTTAGTGTGTGTATGGGGTGTAGACTGGAGGTAAGTGGTGATGTGGTGGTGGGGTCAGAGTTGAGATTACTGATGGTGTGTGGGTTAGAGTGAAAGTAAGTTGTGGTATAGAGGTTAGAGTGGAGGTTAGAGTGGTGTGGGGGGTAGAGTGGAGGTTAGAGTGGTGTGGGGGGGTAGAGTGGTGGTTAGACTGGTGTGGGGGGGGTAGAGTGGAGGTTAGACTGGTGGGGGGGGGTAGAGTGGAGGTTAGACTGGTGTGGGGGGTAGAGTGGAGGTTAGACTGGTGTGGGGGGTAGAGTGGAGGTTAGACTGGTGTGGGGGGGTAGAGTGGAGGTTAGAGTGGTGTGGGGGGGTAGAGTGGAGGTTAGACTGGTGTGGGGGGTAGAGTGGAGGTTAGACTGGTGTGGGGGGGTAGAGTGGAGGTTAGACTGGTGTGGGGGGTAGAGTGGAGGTTAGACTGGTGTGGGGGGTAGAGTGGAGGTTAGACTGGTGTGGGGGGGTAGAGTGGAGGTTAGAGTGGTGTGGGGGGTAGAGTGGAGGTTAGAGTGGTGTGGGGGGTAGAGTGGAGGTTAGACTGGTGTGTGGGGGGGTAGAGTGGAGGTTAGACTGGTGTGGGGGGTAGAGTGGAGGTTAGACTGGTGTGGGGGGGTAGAGTGGAGGTTAGAGTGGTGTGGGGGGGTAGAGTGGAGGTTAGACTGGTGTGGGGGGTAGAGTGGAGGTTAGAGTGGTGGGGGGGGGGTAGAGTGGAGGTTAGACTGGTGTGGGGGGTAGAGTGGAGGTTAGACTGGTGTGGGGGGTAGAGTGGAGGTTAGACTGGTGTGGGGGGGTAGAGTGGAGGTTAGAGTGGTGTGGGGGGTAGAGTGGAGGTTAGACTGGTGTGGGGGGGTAGAGTGGAGGTTAGAGTGGTGTGGGGGGTAGAGTGGAGGTTAGACTGGTGTGTGGGGGGTAGAGTGGAGGTTAGACTGGTGTGGGGGGGTAGAGTGGAGGTTAGACTGGTGTGGGGGGTAGAGTGGAGGTTAGAGTGGTGGGGGGGGGTAGAGTGGAGGTTAGACTGGTGTGGGGGGTAGAGTGGAGGTTAGAGTGGTGGGGGGGGTAGAGTGGAGGTTAGACTGGTGTGGGGGGTAGAGTGGAGGTTAGACTGGTGTGGGGGGTAGAGTGGAGGTTAGACTGGTGTGGGGGGTAGAGTGGAGGTTAGAGTGGTGTGGGGGGTAGAGTGGAGGTTAGACTGGTGTGGGGGGTAGAGTGGAGGTTAGAGTGGTGGGGGGGGGGGGTAGAGTGGAGGTTAGACTGGTGTGGGGGGTAGAGTGGAGGTTAGAGTGGTGTGGGGGGGTAGAGTGGAGGTTAGAGTGGTGTGGGGGGTAGAGTGGAGGTTAGACTGGTGTGTGGGGGGGTAGAGTGGTGGTTAGACTGGTGTGTGGGGGGGGGGTAGAGTGGAGGTTAGAGTGGTGGGGGGGGGCTAGAGTGGAGGTTAGAGTGGTGTGGGGGGTAGAGTGGAGGTTAGTGTGTATATGGGGGGTTGTAGACTGGAGGTAAGTGGTGATGTGGGGGGGGGGGGTAGAGTTGAGGTTACTGATGCGTGGGTTAGAGTTTAAGTAAGTTTTGAAAGTGGAGATTAGTGGCGGTTATGGGATTGAGAGTAAAGGTGGGCTGGGGGAAGAGTATAGGTTAGTGTTTGGTGCAAAGGTTTGGGGGCAAAAGTGGAGGTTGTGATATATATATATATATATATATATATATATATATATATATATATATATATATATATATATATATATATATATATATATATATATATATATATATATATATATATTTGCCTCACACACACACACACACACACACACACACACACACACACACACACATATATATACATATATATATATATATATATATATATATATATATATATATATATATATATATATATATATATATATATATATATATATATATATATATGCATGTTATTGAATTTCAAGTGAGAACTACGAAATTAATCATGAGTACAAATAAAAATACACATACAGACATGTGTAATATTAAAATCATGCGCAATCATTAAAAGGCGCAAGTCAGGGCTGCGCATGGCGTCACGAGTACAGAGACTTACCTCGTTAGCCGTGAAAACATTTTCGGTGACCTTCACCCTTGGAGCGGCGCCCCCCACATAGGAAAGAGACTCCAGACCGTAGGCTGTCACAAAGTCGTCGAAATCCTGCGCGCTCTGCAGCGGAAATCCCCGAAAGAGAATGGCGCCATGTTTTAGCAGCTGACTTTCGATATTAGCTTTCTGAGACGCCAACCAATCGCAGGCTTGCTTCGCCGTTTGAATAGGGTCAAGGACGTTTGTGTCGTTGGCCAAGACGAGAGGAAACACGAGGTCATCGAACACTTTTTGTTCAGGGATCCGATCCTCTCTCACCTGGCTGGAAATTGTTTCGGTCATTTTAGCCAGATTTTTTAGCGTCTGAAAGTTAAAACAAAAATTACATTTAAACCAGATTTTTATGGTGTCTGAAAGTTTAATAAAAAAATATTTTTAAACCAGATTTTTATGGTGTCTGAAAGTTTAAACAAAAAATATTTTTAAACCAGAATTTTATGGTGTCTGAAAGTTTAAACAAAATATACATTTAAACCAGATTTTTATAGCGCATAAAACTTAAAAAAAAAAAAAAATTAAAACCAGATTTTTATGATATAGATCTATCAGAAGCTTAACCAAACTGTATTACTTGAGTGTTTTTTCCACGAACATTTAACTTTCGGTACATAAGATTTTCACCTTGTTTTTTGAACTCCTAAGATGTATAGATAATTGTCAAGAAAAAAAAATGTTTTCAATAACATCTGTGAATCAGCATTTGTTAAAGTGAACGTTTGTAAGTCTATAAATCAACAAATTAACTCAGCTAAGTTTTATTTTCAAATTAGTGTCAATGGTTTAAAATTTGATGAATATTTAAATTAATTGTATCTGTAAAAAAAAACAACAACAACAAAAAACAAGAAAATTTCTATAGAAAGTTATTAATCAACAGTTTAACCATTTAAGTAGCCGAACATTCGTTAGTCAATACATCAAATATTGAACTCACCTAACAGTTTTATATTCAAACTAGTGTCTACTGATAATTTAAAAATTGATGTAGTATAAAGAATAAACATTAACATTTAAGATATTCATTATTTATAAATGTTTAAACTAATGCAATTTGTTAATTTAATAATTCATGTATTTCGTTTGCATATTTAACGACTTAAGCGAATATAGTTATAGGTTATCATCTTTGGTTCTTAAATGTTTATATGGGAAGTAACTTATATAATAATCGAGATCTTGGTTCTGAACAGCTTAGCAGTTTTAATCTCGTTATTTTAGTAAGATACTCTTTAACCATATAAAAGTTTATTTGATCTAATATACCGGTATACGGATGCTAGAGTAATTGGGCTTAAAAGTTTTGCTGTGTAACCCATTTATTTATGTCTCTTTAATAAGAAAACGTGTATATTTGAATAAAATAACATTGTTGGTTTGATGCTGTTTTTAGAGTCGATTTAATAGTTCTAACACAGACATTATATTATTCTCTACTTAACATAAACAATTTATTTATTTTTTTGAAACGAAAATTTGCGGCAGAAAGTAAAGTTGTTGATTAAAGCAAAATGTATTTAACTACTTAATGCTTATGCCTTAGTGTAATGTAACAGTAGCATTGCCCTTACCTGAGATAAATAATTAAACCAGAACCGAATAAAATTTCAGCACACCTTCACGCTGTCTAGACTGTGCTTTTTTAAAGAACACACCTGTTTTCAAGATATGCAGGCCTAATCTTTGCTGCGAATAATTCAACGCCGGTACTATGGTACTGATGTCTTAGTTACAGAGGCGTAGCGACCCTTCCCGGCGCCCGGGGACAAACTTTCAATTTTTAATTTGCACCCCCTTCAAACTTTCAATTTGCACCCCCTTTAATCTTTCCATTTGCACCCCCATCAAACTTTCAATTTGCACTCCCCCCATATATTTTTTATATTTATAATGCAAAACTGCAACTAAAATGAGATTTTAATTTGTTTTTCCAACCCATTTTGGCGCCCGAGAACTTATGTACCCCATTCCCCACCCCCTCGCCTCTGCTTAGTTAGATTCGATATCAGTCATATTCAATTTCTGATAGATTCGTTGCTAACCAGATGCATTTTTAGCTTTTGTATTTGTGTGATTAGATATTTTTCAGATACGAAATTTTTCAGGCACATTATTTTTTCAGGTCGGGTATTTTTTTTTTCGATTCGATACCTGTTAGATTCAGAGATCCAGGATTTGTATGTCGATTCGATATTTTAAAAATTCGATATGATTTGTATGAGATTCGATACTTGTGTGATTTGATTTTCTTCAAGAATCGACATTTACTAAGATTTTATGGAATAGACCTTGGACTCTAAAATAAAATCGAATTTAAAAATAGAATAAAAAAAGTTTGACACATGCCTGTACACATCCCACGAACTTGGCCCATAAAATTCGACATGAACTTGTCCAGAACACGATTATCTAAAGGTAAAAAATAGTAGATGTCATCAGAAGCGTCGCGGGTGGGGGGGGGGGGGGGGTGACACCAAGGAAAAAATAGCAAAATATATACAGAAAAATGATAATTTCACTTGATTAAATGATTAATTAGAGTGAATTAAATAGTCTTCTAAGAGCAAAGTGGGCAAATACACCCAGAAGAAAACAATATTTGAAAACATATACACATGCGTACACACATACTTTTTTCTTCCGGGGGGGGGGGGGGGTGGCGCACCGGGTGGCACCTGATCTGGCTACGCCACTGGATGTCTTCTTTGTGCTGGTGACATTATTCGCTTCCAGACTTTTTACTCGGGTGGGGGGGGGGGGGGGGGGTTAGATGCCTGGAAGAAACTGAATGGATAAATTATACGAAGGGAGTAGAGAAGGGGAGGGTCATTTTGTTATATTTTGCTTTATAAGTTAGGTAGGATGTCAATTGCCATGTGATATAACATTTTGATTATTTGTGTTTTTATTCATGCAAATATGTGTGCTCTGTATGATGGTTCTACGACTAGGTTTCCACACCTGTTTGACACATTCTCTCTTTCAACACAGAAGTTCAAGTTTAGATTTTAGATCTGACACACACCAACCCCTTCGTGCTTGTTGGGATTGCTGCCATCATTTAGTTTAAAACTGTTAAAGTAATTTTAAATTTGTTTGTTGTCAAACTGGTAAAGTGTGATCAGGATTATTTTTTTTGGGGGGGGGGGGGGGGGGGGGGGGAGAGATGGGGGAAATGTTGGGTTCTTTGTCTATGGATATACAAGCAAACGTACTATACAACAGACTGGATAACACTAATGATGATACTAAATAATAATATGGAGTCATATATATATATATATATATATATATATATATATATATACTAGCCGTCCCGGCCAGGCCCTGCTCTGGCTTCTGTGAAAAACCTTTCCGTTAAAGACCATTACCTGTGTGTTTAGTAATCATCATAAACCCGGCATTGCCCACCCAAACCACAACCAACCAAAACAACAAAACGCAAACATAAGGCTAACACAATTAGAAATACAAACGAAAACAAAAACCTAACAACAAACCCAACCACAACCACAAACACCAATACAAACACAAAGAAAAAACAAACGAAAACAAAAACCTAACAACAAACCCAACCACAAACACCAATACCAAAAAAAAAACAACGAAAAAGCAAACGAAAACAAACCAAATCCAAACGCAAAACCAACCAAAAACACAAATACAAACCCAAACAAAAAAAAAACAAAAACGAAAAAAGAAAGAACAAAAACGAACCAAATCAAAACGCAACCACTAACGCAAACCCACCTAAACACAAAGAAAACACTAACGCGAACATAAACGCCCGGGGCAGAATCGCCTGTTTTAGCTTAATAAACGACTATAGTACCCCAACTTATTCATAGTTTTTGCACTCACTTAAACGAACGCGCCTGTTTCAATTTAATGAACAATTATAATACTCCAAGCTTATCCGTAAAATACCTAAAACATTTGCACTTGATCAATCCCCGCTAATTATGTAATTATTTTTTTCCCAACACCAAAACAAAGTAATTAAAAAGTAAATGCTTTTCAACTAATGCAATGGTTTCATAAAGGGAAGTAATTGTGTTTTGCCTAATTTATCAAAGGGAAGTAAGCGCTATAGGACTAAATAAAAACATAATTAGAATTTTTGTAAAAGATGATATTTTTTTAAAACTTGTGTTTAATGAACATGCCGACAATTATTACTATAATTTGAAAAATGAAAATAATTTCCCAACACTTTTAATAGTAATTTTTTAACTCATAAATTTAGACAAACGCGCACGATAATTGATCTAACACTTAAATCCGTAGAAATGCCAACGACAAACATATGCGTTACAGAATTGAGCTTTATATATTAGATATATATATATATATATATATCCTATACATATATCCTATACATATATATATATATATATATATATAAATATATATATATATATATATATATATATATATATATATATATATATATATATATATATATATATATATATATATATACACACACAAAAATAATACTACAATCTATAATAATAGTTTCGCTGTCTATCTATCTATCTATCTATCTATCTATCTATCTATCTATCTATCTATCTATCTATCTATCTATCTATCTATCTATCTATCTATCTATCTATCTATCTATCTATCTATCTATCTATCTATCTATCTATCTGTCTGACAAGAACGCTCTAGAGAAAAGACAAGCAATTTAAAAACATGCATAGTAATTCGAAAAACGAAGTATGACGTCGACACATTTAGCATAGAGTTGAAAATAATCTCACAGTAATATAATGACGTCATTGATTCTGGCGTAAACATTGAATAAAGAGGAAATGTTGTCTAATCTAAGTGGTTTGCGTGAAGAGTTTCTTGCATACAATTCTTCGGGTAGGGGCGAAGACCCACCCCCCGCGTAAGAACGTCTGAGCCCCTCCCCCTCCCCAACTCAAAAGAAATTTCTTCATCGATACTCTATAATAAAATTACCGCCTAATTAATGTGTCTAATCTCAAAAGTGGTTTTCTTGCAATTTCTTTAATGCAATTCTTCGGGTAGTGGCTAAGCGCGACACCAGTGTTTCTTTCAGACTTTTTCCTCCCCGGAAAGGGGTGGGGGTAATTGAAATTTTCGGGGGCGGGGGTAGAATTTCCGGGGAGGGGGGCGGACACTGGAAAAAGTATATAATTATATTTCGTTGAATGGGACGGTAGACATGTTTTTTTTGGGAGTGGGGGGTGGGGGGTGGGGGGGGGGGGGTGGGATGGGGTGGGGGGGGGTGGGGTGGTTTCCTCATCGATACTCTATAATAAAATTACCGCCTAATTAATGTGTCTAATCTAAAAAGTGGTTTTCTCGCAATTTCTTTAATGCAATTCTTCGCGTAGTGGCTAAGCGCGACACCAGTGTTTCTTTCAGACTTTTTCCTCCCCGGAGAGGGGTGGGGTACTTGAAATTTTCGGGGGCGGGGGTAGAATTTTCGGGGAGGGGGCGGAAACTAGAAAAAGTATATAATTATATTTCGTTGAATGGGACGGTAGACATGTTTTTTTTGGGGGGTGGGGGGGGGGGGGGAGGGTTGTGTGTGGGGGGTGGGGGGGGGGGGGTGGGGTGGGGGGGGATGTGTGTGGGGGGGGGGTGGGTTGGTTTTAGTTTAGAGAAAAGAGACAGCACTATCAGCCTAGCGCCCGTTGTATCCTTCCTCAACGGGCCATTTTTCTCGTAATATAATATTATAAATAATAAAAGATTCACGACACAAACTACCATACAAAATACTTAGCACATCCGTTTACGTCTTCTACCAAAACAAATATTACACCCCCTCCTCAAACTTTCGATTTTCACCCCCCCCCCCTCAAGTTTTTGATTTACAGCCCCGCTCTCAAACTTTCGATTTGCACCCCCCCCTTCAAGTTTTTCTCTATATATTTTGCTATTTTTTGCCTTGGTGTCACCCGGTGCGGTCCGCACCGGGTGGCGCCTTTTAGGGAATTGACACCAAGCCAAAAAAAATCAAAATTTACAGAAGAAAAATTCTTTTTTGCCATTTCGATTAATAATTAATTAAAGTTTAATAGTTTTTTTAAGTACAAATCGACAATTATAACAAAGGTGTAGTGGTGACAACTTAATAAATTGTCGGAAAATTTCCCCCAAGAAGCAATGCCGATTGCAGAATGTTTCGAGGACTACTATATTGGCAGACCACAACTTCTACGTCGGAGACAACATCTTTTTGCTTGAAATAATAAGAGGATTAATATTTTTTGTTGTTGTTGCAAAAATTGATGCCACTTGTTAAATTGGAGGGGGGGGGGGTGACACCAAATTCAACTTTCACAGAACAATGTAGTGATCAGAACGAAATACACAACCCACCAAAGTGGTTGGTCCTGACACCACATTGAAAAAATTGCAAATGAATAAATCCTTTGATGATTGAGTGTGGCGGCTAACTAAAATATCAAAGCTAAATTTATTATCGAACATGTCATCAGGTAACAGTCTCCCAGCATAGAGGTGTGTGTGGGGGGGGGGGGGCGGGGGGGGGGGTGACACCACTAAAACATTAATTATTGTAAATTAGATGGTGGAAGTTTGCTTACGTAATTTCAGATAACATGACATCTTAAAATAATGTTTGTATTTTCTTCGTCTTCTTCGTTCTTAATTCTAGTGTTCTGGAT